CAGTCAGCCTACTTTATCAGAAGTTATGTATTTTATACTTTGCAGTAATTTGGACGGGTAGTTTTAAGGTGTTGGGAATGCGCCCATTCCCACGATTACTCATCTTACAAAGAGGCCGTCGAGTGCAACTCCACGCCGCTATCATGAGAGTGCGCGCCGTGGCTATCGATTTTTCCTTATAACTGATTGGTCCCCTGGCGCTGACGCCTGCTCATGGAGCGGACTGAATAAATACCCCGCAGCCTTTTGTGAGAGTGAGTTGCTTGCCTTGCATGTGTTAATATACGTCTCCTCCTGACCGATTGACTTCTCTTGTTCTCTCATGCGGGCGTTCGGGACAACAGCCGGGCTCGCTCAGAGTTCGTGCTAATTACAAGTACCTGACGCGGGTCGTAACAGAGCCAAATTGTGATAAGTCATGCGTTAGCCATACGCAAACCATGTGCTTTCTGTTGTGGTTTCGAACCTACTGAGACTGCCGAGTTTTGCACCGATGGGTATTTAAGCAAATTGAAATGGAATATGTACAGGCCTAGTAAAATTTGATGTCAGTATCACTAGAAAGAAAACGCAGGTAGTTGCGGGACACATTAGACATATACACGACTTGCACCAAGTAGATGTGCAAACAGTCATCCACTTGTACTTTCGGTGATGAAAATAACGCCTTACTGAGGACGTTAAGCCCAGAGTCCAAAAATGGTCGTCTGAATAGTAATCAGGACATGAACAGTCCTGTAGAGGATGTTCATGCATAATTATAGCTGTGGTCCGCCCAGTTACATTAGGAGGCTGAAGCTACTAAAAATGAGATTCAGATGTCTGAAGCCCTTGATGTTTGCAGATGGCAAAACAACTTGTACGTGCTTAGCTATCCGATGAGTCAGCTAGCTAGGGGCAATGTTTGCCTTTTCAGTTAGAAAAAAAGTAGGTGCATTTGATTCATTTTCCCTGCGGTCACAGCTTGTCAATCGCAAGCGACCACGTTCGCATGGAGTAGGCATAAACCAGTGACTGACGCGTAAATCAGTTTGCACTGAAGCAGACTTACACAACCTCTATTGCACTTCCTCTCTCTCTCTCTTCCCTCATTCACCTTGCTCCCAGGGTAAAATAATTTCAAGACGATAGGGCAGTGGGCGCAAGAGCATCCATAAGACAAGCAAACACCTTGAACTGTGATAAATGACAGTTCGAACCTACAGATGAACTTAAAACAAGGCTGGCTGAGAAAAGAAGTGGGCCCATGGCGGTTCATTATCCCAGTACGCATCAGTGTGATGAACTCTGCCGTGTATAACCAGGCCCACGAACTTCAGTAGCAGGCGATGGGATCTGATTAAAGTTTTCATAAAGATCAACCTCTAGGAGCAGATACTGAAGTTTTGAATTGTGGTTGGTCTTCCTAGGATTGAAACTATTTCGGACAATTAGGACAGTTTGACCTTCGCCAACGATGAAGTCTATTGTGCACCCCCACGACCTGGTGGGAACATGACAGTGGCGTGCGTGTACATTAGTTTATAATGACAGCAAACGTGTGTAATTATAGTAA